CCCCCCCCAGGCGTTGATGGAAGCTCTGGAGGGCATGGAAGGCGTGGAGCTCACGCCGGGGGGAGGGGCGCAGTCCAAGGAAGTCCTCAAGGCGTCTTCGGATGTGCTGCCTAACAGGAGCCCGTTCGAGATGCAGTACGAGCTGTTCAAGCGGGGGATGGAACTCCAAGACGCAGACGACTTCGTTGGCGCGGAGAGGCAGTGGACAGAGATCATCGAGAACTTCAACAGCCCAAATTTCCGGGCGACCAGCCCCGGGAACAAGGTGCTGCTGGCCAGGGCGTACAGCAACCGCGGCAACACGAGGCTCTCGCTGCAAAAGACGAGGGAGGCTATCCTGGACTACAGCGAGTCCATCGACCTCGTCCCGGAGAAGGGGGAGTTCTGGCTGGCTCGTGGGGTGGCGTTCGAGGTGATTCATGCGTTTTTTTCCGGAGGAGAGTGCTCGTGGGAGAGACGAGGACAGGGAGGAACGTGGTTGGCACACACGGCCGGTTTTAACTTGTGGTAGCGAGTATTTGGCTGTGCCGCGCGTGTGACAGAGATTTGTCTTGGCCAGGGAGAGATGCGTCCCTTGCGTGTCTAAGCACGGATCAAGTTCTCGCGTTCAGGAGAGGTCTACGTCGCCAGTTACGAAAGGAAGAGGGACATCGTGGACGGGACGATCGATGGAAACGACGTCGGACTTGTGTGCACTCACCGCTCTCGGAACCTTGATCCGGCTACGGTAGCAGCCGCCGCCTGGACCCCCCACTTCCAGAATTTAGGACGCGTCTTTCTTCTCTCAGACGCTATCATTTCTCGTTTCTCCTTCTGTGTTATTTCCCTTGGGTGCTTTGCCCACGAAACCACAGGACATGGCCGACCGCAAGGTGCTGGCACGGGCAGACCGTAACGTTGAGGTGGCACGCACGTTCTACGAGAGCGCTCTTGCTGACTACGATCACGCCGTGGTATTGGACCCACAGGTAAAGCTAGCCAGTCGTGTGTGTGGACATGTACAGCCTGGGTGGTGTATTGTTGAGCAACGTATTGTCGTCGTGTTCTCCTCCCCCTGTCGTGTGCAACCATGACTCGTTTTTTCACGGCACTCGCGTTATCTCCGTACGCGTTTGTTTGACAACAGTCGTTGAGATCGGACTAGGACGGCCATATCGCCTTCACCCCCCTGTCTCTCTCGCTCGCTCGTCCTCTCTCGCCGTGCTCGGGAGTGCAGTCAGCTGTGCGAGGAATATCATATCCGATACTTGCCTTAATTAGATTCGAGCCCGTGCCTCTCTCACGCACCGGGATATCGAACGACTACCCGGACCGGCTGCACAGGTCCACACTAACACCCCAGACTCTTGCCTCTGTCCGGTCTTTCGGTCCTTTCATCCGGCCTCTCGCTCTCCATCGTTCGTATTCCTCTTCTTACGGTGCAAATGTGTACCTATCTCCCGTGCCGAACGGCTGACGTCACAAAACGCACCTAACACCGCAGGACGCCCGTGTGTACGTCAGTCGTGGCGACGCTAACACCCTCCTGGGCCAGGGACGCGATGCGCTCGACAACTACATCCGCGCGGTCAACCTAAGCCCCATGACTCCTGAGGTCAGTTCAGTTCTGGACGCGAGTTTCCGCGTTGCTTCCTGGTTTTTGTTCTTAATTTGTCGATCTGATGCGGCGTTGGCACGGCGTACACGCTGCGGGCGTGTCGGCTCTGGTATCGGGAAGCAACATGAAACGATCCGACTGTGTAGCACCAGCCTGTTGGCAACTTGAGCCAGTCGTCGATGGAGGGCTGGCGGCAGTTCATGTTGGTTGCACGGGTTTACGAATTGTTCGGCCTGTTTTCCTGGAACTGTGGGCCGTAGACACACGCACATACTCGCGGGGCCCCAGACAGATAGTGGCCTTAAGAAGCATTTCCCACTTTAAGCGGCACCGTCCTTCATTGGTCAGCGGTTTGGGTGGCCGATGCTCATTGGCACACATACATCTGCTAGTGGCTGTTGGCTTGTCATTTGTCGGCCGATTGGAGCGGTCGATCGCTCTTAAGACACACACACACACACGGCACGACCCTTCTTGTTGTTTGCTTTGTGTTTTTTCTTCTTTTCAGTTTCGAGCAAAGGTGGCGCTGGCGGAGCTTCAGGTAGGGCACAAGCAGAAGGGCGCGCAACTCATCGGGCAGCTGTTGCATCGTTACCCGAGCTACCCGGAAATGCTGCTGGCGGCCGCTTCGGTAAGGTCTCGCTCGCCATATTTGTTGCTATCGTTGTCGCTACTCCCGCCGCTGCTTTTCTTGTGTTGTTGTCGGGGTTGCTCTCTTTTTTTCTGTTTTCCCCCAAAATGCTGGGCGAACACTAATAAATGAAACCGGCATAGCGGCGCCTCGGGTAGCTGAAACACCGCGAGCCTAATATGTCATTGACGTAGCAAGGGAGGGATTGGGAGTTCGATTACCAAGAATGAAGTTGTGCCGTCCGCTTTTTGGTCGTGCTTCATGTGTCCGGTTTTATTAACGTTCCTGTGGTGCTTTTAACCTTGTCCGATGTTTTTGGTTGAAATTTGGAACAATTTGGGCGTGTTGCCGGTGCTTGAAACAACGTCAACCTCCGTTGAGGTTTTTGGTGAATGAAGTACTTATATGTCTCTCTGTGAGATACGTCCTCGAAAGGCGCTTCGCTTTGTACGTGCGGGTCTTGGCGAAATCGACTTCGGGTCGAAAAGAAGGAGATTCAACGAACGTGGCGCCTTTTTGCCGTCGCGGTTGTTTTTGCAATATTCATGGAGCCCGCCCTCCCCTCTTCTGGTATAATGACGAAACAAGGTGGCCTGGAGCGACGGCGAGTTGGTAGAGAGCCAGGAGATGTACGCCGAAGCGATTCGCTTGGACCAGCGCCTCATGGACGAGAACTACATCTGGCTCATCCTCCGCTGGCCGGAGCAGCCGCTCAGCATGGTGAAAGCGCTCCGCTCGGCCTCCAGCGCCCCGAAGGGGAGCGGTCTCGAGGCCCTGGGGCTAAAAACGCTCTTGTCTATGCCTCGTGAGGTCATTTGACAAGGTTTCGAGCTTCTCGACCTCGGCGTCTTTGTCCTGATCTGACCGGATTCGGTTCGATTTTTTAATCGGATCTGGTCACGTCACACGGTTGTCTGATGCTAATTTGACCTGAGGTGCAGTCTTGCTTTGGTCTACGCAAGCCGGCTTCGCAAGCTGGTGATGCCTGTTGCTGAGAAGTGGGCCCAGTTGATCAGGGCGCTGGCTTCTGGTTTGCCGAAGCCGCTGCGGGGGGTGTGAATGAGAAGACGATTTGTTAGGGGGGGGATGAGGCTTTTGGCAGAGTACTGGCTGGTGGATATTGGGTAGAAGCGTGGGATGAAGATGGCCGAGCATCGCAGCGGCGACGGGTATTCTCAGGCCGCATATCGCAGCTAGGGATTACACGAGAGGCGCACGAGTGGTAAAGGGGAGTTCCTTGTTGAAGGTGGCAGCTGAGCTGCTCCCGATCGCATGGACCGGCGTTTTCACGGCCGTAACACACGGACCGACAGACAACGTCTTTGTGAATACTGTATAAAGAGGGGTTTGTATCGTGCGCGGTCCGACACGTACTCGGATGTACGTTCGATCGTTTTGAAACCGTGCGGGTGGTTTGTGTGAGAGTTGTGAAACAAAATATTGTTGGGTCGTAAAGCGAGGCACACGCCGAATGTTAGTAACGTGCGGAGGGACCACCAAGCGCACCTGCGTGGATGGCGACGTGTCCGTTTGGACTTGTTTTGAGTTTTGGTCGGGATCGCGAGAAAAGGGGCAGCCGCTCATCAAAGACGTTGGGTTGTTCGGCTTTGGTAGGAAGCATACCCAGCCGCAACGCGATGGCCGAGAGGACGCATGATACGTAATTTGATGGCGTGAATGTTGGGCATCCCTGGGTTTGTCTGATGATATGGAGAGCATAGGGCCTGTGGTGTTCTTGCAAATCCACACGACGCAACAGTGCACAAAAAATTCCCGTCGTACTAAAGTCGAAATGCATTTTTCCTTGCCAAGGATTCTGAGCAACGCAAGCGGTGAAGACTCTTCGCCAACAGCCCTTGGCTGTAATGGTATGAAAGCGAGGCACGAATTGGACTGAAAATAGCTAATTGCAGTTGTGTGTGGGGGGTAAATTCGGTGTAGTGTGCGTTTGGGCGCGTTGCACACTGCACGTCATGCGAGCTTGGACGACCGGGTTGCGAATTGGTGGATGATGCGCTGTTGTGAGAGCGCATGCTTGGACCTTTCGTGTACTTGCTCACTTTATCGAGAGTTGCTGTTGCGCTGGCACGATTGAGATCGGGCGTGTGAGAACTAGATCGTGTGGCAGTAGGTCGGTGTCGATGGCAGTCTGAGGGTGTGCGGTACCTTGAATCACCAGCCCGGTTGTTCTGGGATGCACTAGTGTGTGTGTGATGTCGCGGTTGTAACGTTGATGTGTGTTATTGGGTGAAAGAGTGTTCGCAGCAAGTCGCTTGAGATCTATGATTGCGCGATGTGGGTTGGTACGGCATATGTCGTCTGTATTAAGATGGGATTTGTTTCCGGGCTACCGTTGCCTGTGGCTGCTTTTGCCTTGGATCACCTGGTTTTCCCTCAAGTTTGTTGGCATCAAGTCTTTTGTTTTCCCTGTCTACTATGTTTCTTGCAGTAGTGGTATTGGCGCTCTCCAGAGGTTTGTTTCTGGGAGGGATGAATCCACGGAAATGGCAAGAGATGTGCCATTGATTGTCTTTGCTTGGTCCTGCGTGTCGTGTGAGCTCTTGGATATGTTGCAAAAAGACGGGTGCTTTCCCGAACCTCACGTTGCAGCGTTGCACTCTGGTCGGTTGTAAAATTGAACTGAAAAGAGTGTGCGAACGGTGGTAAGAGAAAATCAACAGGAACGATGTGTGTCATATGTTGTACAAGTTCGCAAGGATATGTGGATGATGCCTTCGGGCACCCGGCTGAGTCAGCGAAGGAGACACTCGGGCAAACGGGTTGTGCATGCAGGGAGGTTGGTGACAAGAGTCGCACAAACCACGCGCTCTTCACCCACCAAAGCCAATGAACGAAGGTTCCCCGGAACCGCGAGTGTACCTCTACAATGATTCGCTGGGGATGTGAATGGCCGAGGGCATATATCTACTCTGCATGGGATACTTCTTTGGCACACCCGACGTTGCCATGGTAATTACTCGCCAAAATCGTTTTGGAACAGGTCGGCGTGTTGGCAACGCCTCTGAATGATCGATCATATCGCGTTCTTCTTTCGGCGGTAACGTGTGCGTACCGTTCCGCGAAGGTGTGCAAAGGGCAAGCATCCCCTCCTTTCGAACTGAACGAAAGAGTTAACGGTTTTCGCAAGGACCAACACGTGAGATTCGTGACATCGACCTGAGCACGAGTCCTGACCAGTTCCCTCTTTTCATAAAAAACAAAAAAAAACATGGCGACTTCAGGGTCCTTGGACGGAGGATGCCGGCAGCCGAATTCGACATGGCGATCGAATTCGGGTTTCTGGCGCAGGACGGAAAATTTTCACAAGAGATATTCTCGACAACTCTTCGCTCTTTCTCTCTGCGGACAAAAAATCTGCATCACCCATATGGAGTAACATCGGACGTCGTAGACAGTGCTCTTGCTTTCCTTTGGGTTCCCCTCTGCCGAATGATGCTAAAAAATGCCTCTTTCATGAAGAAAATGTAATGCCTGCCGAAACTCATCAACCCCTCAAATTCACGGCCTCCCCCGTAAAATGGTGGCTTCGTTCGCGGACACCTGGTGACAACACGTACGTACACGTAGCACCGACGCCTATCGTCCTCTTGCACTTTGTGGGGAGGGCACACCGGCCGCAGTTTGGAAAGTGTTTGCCTCCTGGCTGCGAAGCTCTGCTAATGCCACTATTTACCACACGTTCCTGGGCGCTGATTCTTGCTGGAAGCAGCGCGGCAAGGACTGCACGGATGATGGTGTCGCTGTTGCGTTGTGATGGTGTCGTTGTTGCGTTGTGATGGTGACGGCGCGTCCAGTTGGTTGCTCCAGGCTGTGGTTTTGTACAACAACGTCGTACGTGGCGTCTGAAAAGTACGAGATGAACGAAGTGAAGAGCCAAAGAGGACGCGGTATACAGTCGTTGGGTACCTCGTCCATGACAACCTCGTGACTTGTCCGTGACGCACCGCGGGTTTTGCCAGTACCACAGCTAGCTCGTGTTGTATTTGGGAAAAGGACATACAAAGCCGTGCATCAAGTCGGTTAGGTTTCGCAACCTATCGCCATATCAAGGGTTATCAATTCTAATACGTTCTCCACACCAAGGTACCAATTTTCATATTTTTGGAGATTTATCTTGGGGGTCCGGTGGTAGTCGTCTAATTGCAATACAAAGAATATGCGCCCCCAGGAAACCAGGTTTGCGTCCGAGTACCTATATGCGCGAGAAAGGACCCTCTCTCGTGAACCCCCAACCCATGATCACCAAAACGTGTACGTAGCGCACCAAGAGAGCACCTAACCCGCTCAAAGTATGCATGAGACATCGTTACTCAACGCACGAGATGTATCCCCCATACCATGCGGCTTGCTTCAAGCGGAGTCCAAACCCCAATAAAATAAAATGGCCAACAACATTTTGTTGGCAGTGCGGAAGGAGGGGGAGGGGGTACTTAGGTGAGCGCGAAGACTTTTTACGTGCACACTTGGCCATACTCGAAAAAAATATCAGCACAGAAGCGGTAGCGAGCACACCACGACACCCTTATACATCAAATCCGGATGTTCAACCGTCCTCAGTATTCCACCGGCAGTGAAAGCGTTTAAAATGCCCAGAACGCTCGATCCCAAACGCAAGCCTTATGCTATCATCTGGCTCGAAGGACACGAGCAAACCAGCTACTACGCGTTCTTTTCCCTCGGGCATGGAATCGTCGGTCCATCCGAGGCCAAACCGCGTCGCAAACCGCAAGGTAGGCAAACTCCGTGGACAGCTTCGCGGAACGCCGCGTACTCCACAAGTGAATTTTTGCCTTGCGGACGAGATACATACCTTCTGGGAGGAACATGTGGTAAACAGAAGACATGCCCTGGGGGGGGGCTACAGGAAGCCAGGTGGAGGCTGTGTTTCGGAGGTGAAGCAAACATTCTCTGAGTTGCTGAGGGCGAGATCCAGATCACTCAAGACATCCTCCTGCGTCGATGGCTAAATGGTAGCATGAGGCGCAGCAGAGCAGGGTGGTCGCGCGATACATGTATCAGAGACGCCGTTGGGGTGACTTACTGGTGTACTACAGTAGGAGTGGCAAGAGAGCATAGTGCCAAGGGATTTGACCGGCCTTTCGTACTGTTCACCCGGCACTAGCCAGAGCATGAGACCACAAAATATGCGTCTGTGCCACACCATACTACCGACCTTGTATCTACAGGGCGATCGGCCTTCTTGAGGGACAAATATTGCTGTAGTACAAGCATCAAACTCCGGGCGGTTCATTTTGTAGAAACATGATTCTGCAGAACCAAACAGCGACAAGCCAGGATGGCAGGCAACTCTAAATGAGAAGAATCCCGCGAGCGCTTCGTATCGTCAACGCGGCAAGTGTCATCGTGCGCAGAAATGTGCGTCCTTCAAGTGGAATGCATGAAACGGCTCCGTAGTAAAAGCACGTACGTGCCGGCAGAATAGCGAACGTTAACTGTACCGTAAAGAGCATATCGTATGTAAAACAAGATTTGCATCCCCATCAACTGAGTACCAGATAACACCACGCACCGGCCCTAGTATGCCCTCACCGGTTCGGCAGCTGCATCGTTACTGACGACGGGAACATCCTCTGTTCGCTGCGAGATACCCGTCCCCGTCGGTGCGGACCCGTTGTCGTCGTCCTCGCCATCACTGTCGGGAATGTCGAGATCCAGGCTGCTGTTGACGACGCTTTCTGGTTGTGCTTGCTCTGGCGCACCTCCATCACCCGCCTCCTCCACGTCCTCCTCCTCGACTCTGTCCTCTTCTGCCCCGTTGTCCTCTCCCTCCTCTCTCCCCCCCGGTGTTTGCCATCGGGATTGGGTTTTCGTCGCTTAGCAACGACGTTGTAAAACAAACCAATTCACTTCGTGAACTCGGCAACCAGGTTACCGTTTTTTTTTTTACCTCCGTTTTTTTTTTGGCGGTACCATAATGGTGGTTGAGTAGATCATGTTGTGCGGGGTCGAGAACCCTCACTCCGCGCAAGGGGGATGATCCCACCACGTTGTGTTAAAATGCTCACTCACCCTCGAGGCAGTTACACAGTGCTTACAACTGTATCAGGAAGTGAAAGAACCAGAAAATAAATTAAGTCATACGCAGCTGTCATCCGTACGCAAGGAAGTAAGCACAAGATGCCGAAAACCCTT